CACACATCAAGCTGGAGCTAGTGTTTTCCCTTTCCTCTTTCCTTTCTTTTTGAGACCCTTTTATGTCAATGACTAACATGGATCCTAAATGTCTGGGGAAAGAAAATAAATTGGTTTCAGGTTGTTTTTCAGGCGCAGGACACTGAAACTGAACACAGAATACCCTCGGCTGGCCCTTTGCTGCCCCTTCCCTCTCTCATCTTTGTCTGCTTCTTAGATTTTTTTGTCATTTGTATTGGCTCTCTTTGGACCATCCCTCTGGCTCCCTTGCATGCACCCAACGTTCACTGCAGACCCAAGCTTTTGTTTTCCCCAGCATTCAAGCACAGGGTGGGTGAGGGAAGTCTGGAGCGCTTTCAAACAAATCAGTTCATTGCCGTGCAGACGATGACAAATGTTTGACACGGGAAGCATCAGGGGCTGCAGTTAGACTCCACGAGGATGTTGGATGAATTGTTGTATTTTTTTAACTCCAGCAGGAGAAGTTTTATGTCAAGATGTCTCTGTTATGTAGCCTGTTTCTGTTTGACAGGAGGCACCGAACGCGTATAGCTTCACATTAGAATCCATGCATTAACTCAAGAGCCAGATCTGATTACTGATGAGTAAATGATCAGATGTTCCTGTGGTGTGAGCGTACATAAAACATTTTAGTTGAGTAAATACATAAACAAGGGATTTAATCAGATCCCATTTACTACCTTCTACTCAAGCGAGTAATCAAACTGGATTACCAAATGAGGGCCAGATGACTCAGGGTATTCAAGAAAAGAAGACATTTTCCTGTCAGTGCCTTGATTATAAGGTGAGAATACACACCTTTGTGACAAAGGGGGATGTGGAGAGCAAAGGCACAGTCAAAGCCACCAGCATGGCTAATGTCATGGCCACTGAGTTGTAACTGCCACTCCCAAAACACACACACACACACACACACACACACACACACACACACACACACACACACACACACACACACACATACACACACCTATGCACACACACCCATGCTCACACACACGCATGCACACACAGAAATCTGGACTTATACATAACTCATTCAAACATACCCACATACATTGCAGAAATGCACGCCTCACTGAAAAAGTTCTTGATTACTTTTATCTCCTTCCCTCTCTCTCTCTCTCTCTCTCTCTCTCTCTCTCTCTCTCTCTCTCTCTCTCTCTCTCTCTGCCTGTGTCCCACACTCTCTCTCTCTCTCTCTGCTCTTACAAGTGTTGGAGGTGAGGGCTTGCCGCCCTCGCCTGTTTAATGGGCCGTCCGTTTGCCAACTGTTCCTTTGAGGGGGCTGGTGCGTCGGGCGTCAGAGCCGGGATTTGGGAGGGAGGGCCGGTGCCGCTGGATCAGACAGATGGAGGGGGGTCCGGCTCCATTCATTTAGCTCTATGAGAACAACAGAGCCCCACTTCAAACAACAAGGACGCAACCTGCTGGCCCCATCGTCTGCGAATGCATACGCAGACACACACATGCTATAACACATGCATGCTTGTGTTCAAACACACATGCTTTTATTAGAGCTTTTGTTTGATTTGATGTGCCTTATATCTAAAATCTGTCTCAAGAACATAAACTCAACTCCCAATCATATAATTGTCACTGTTGCTGTTCACACTGCATCTGCAGCTCATCTGCCACCCTGACACACACTTGCATGCATGTACACACACATACGCACTACACACATATGCACAGGGGGGCATAAAAACACAGGCTCCAGAGTGCCCACCCCCATTCCCAGTCCTTCTTTCCCTGGGACTCCCTCCTCTGCTACCCCCCCCCTGAATTCACTGGCACTTCCAAAAAGCTCTGAGGCGCCAGCGGAGCGGGGCTCATCTCTTGGGAACAATAAAGCCAGATCTTCATAAAAACTTCAAAAAGGCCTCGCCAAGTGTTTTATAGGTGCTTTAAAGGTTTATGGGCCCTGGGGAGGGAGGAGAGAGAGAGAGAGAGAGAGAGAGAGAGAGAGAGAGAGAGAGAGAGAAATGAGTGATGCAGTAGTGGCAGACTTCACTTTTCCCACCCACTGCAAACACACATACAGAAACACACACATGCCAGCATATGCATACATATATACGCCGCTGCTAATCCGCCAGTAAGTGCCAAGCTGAGATCGGCTGGTGGTAGGCAGGGTGGGGCAGGGGGTAGTGGTGGATGTGAGGGGCCGGGAGGAGGGAGGGAAACAGGTGATCAGTTGGTGCAAAAATGGAATAGAAGAAGAGGAAAGAGGGATGTCACTGTGGTGTCAGTAGAGAGCTCACATTTTAACTACATAGTGTGAACGTCTGTTCAATTTGAAGCATATGAGGGAAGTGTTTTCTGTATAATGAACCTGTTCGGTTGAAAAGCACACGTCTGCATCCAGAGTCACATGTTTAGGCCTCCAACTATACAAAAAAGTTGTATATATTGGGTAAGTATGCCTGTTTTTGATTCATGTAAAATGAACTAAAAGGTTGTGTGTGTGTGTGTGTGTGTGTGTGTGTGTGTGTGTGTGTGTGTGTGAGTGTGTGTGTGTGTAAGGATATATGGTCCCCCAAAGTGGGGGACCAACCGTGTGGCCCATAATCCTAAATGACCTCAGAAAGGGTCAAGTTGAAGAACGCGGAGGTGGGGCACTCTGAGACGGAGGAGATTAGGGCTGGAAGCCTGCTCACTTTCAAGATGCACTGGTTGCTGTTTAGCAGGCAAATCGGTTTATTTGCACACAAACTGGAGCGCAGGCTCATGTGCAACTGGCACTTCGCACTCTTCCAGTTCAGCTTGACAGCCTTTCAACCCTACTTCCCTGCCAGGGGAGGTGCTGACGAAATCACCTATCAAATGATTCTCCCAGATACACAACTTTACTTTGTCCCTGCAGATATTTTGATGAGTCACGATTCAGTGTGCCCGAGCTAAGTACACTCTACTTTGAATCTCTTTTATGAGCATGAATAGCCACTATTCAGGGTGTTTTTGGAATGTTTTCTTTATAGGTATTCAGATATATGCCAGGAGTTATATTTAGCTCGGGTCCTCCTGGAGTCAGAAGGTTTAAAATTAGGAGGTGTCAAAATTCCAGTACAATTCTTAAGTTACTGTCAATAAACGGTAAAGGACTGCTCTTAAAGGCGTAGTGTTTTGGCAAGGATGCATTATGGCATGGTTTGTGCGTGATAAGCTGCTTGGGAAAGTGTGTGTGAATTTGTCCTCTTATAGTACAAAAGTGTAAATCCTCTACATGGTATACACATGTATTTACACATCTAAATATCAAGATTCCTGAGTGCGTGCCGCTTATGTGCACCGATGTGTGTTTTTGCGCGTGTTTGTGTGTCCATCTCTACATTAGTGTTTGTAGGATCTGTTGACAGGGAAGCATGCAGCATTTTATTTGCTCAAGGGCTGAAAAAACATATGGCGCTAGCAAGGGAGCGCTGTGATATGAGTCTGCTGAAAGCAACCTGGCCAGCCAGAATTCAACTCCGGGATCATGATTCAACTAAATATTTGAACACACTGTACAATAACAGAGCTGTGCAACATAAAGTTTTATTAATGCCTATGCAAAAATGCATTAAAGTTTTATATTTTAAAGTTCAAAAGTTCAGCTAGATGAAATACCAGACATGTCTGAAACACATTAATGTTGAAATTCAGAACATTAAAATATCTATTTAAATGTACACAAACATTGGGTTCACCACCTTGTCTTGCTGCAGTGATGTACAGGTGTCCTCCAGGACAATGTGACTGCTGGGTGTTGTTACAGGTGCAACAAAGCTGAACACACCCAAACACCCAAAACATACTAACTCTAACCCTAACGTTCAAAATAAAGTGTTCTATCAGTCTTGATGGAGGCCTTAGGTTCCCCTCACTTTAAACATCTACAACACTTTTAAGTTAATATCTGGAGATGGGTTAGTTCGGACAAAAATGACATAAAATTTAACTGCTAAAGGACCTGTGTAAATTTTCTACAGCTATACATTTGGCATCAGTCACTTTAGAGAGTGAAATCCCCTTTTTTCTAATATTAGTGCAGGAAAACAATCTTCAAGCAGAAAGCCCTCTTTTCATGACAGTTCCAGTCTCAATCTCAATCAGTCTCTCAATTGTATTGTTAATTAAAATTTCTGAATATCAACTAAATGCTTATAGACTGCTAGTGTTTTATGAGGGTAACAGCACTGAGTTTGGTAAACTATTTCAGGGTTAGGGTTAGGGTAAGCGTATGTGTAGTTCTACAAATACGCATATCTCATCTTTACAGGACTGCATTGAGAACGTAAAGCTGACGTAATGCACATCACACTGTCATTATGTCAAGTATTTTCCTAATGCTAAGCCTAAACTCTATTCAAACCTGTTAAAAAATTGACGGTAAAAACACTACCTCAACATACGCAATAGTAACATCATTGTTCATCCTTGGCGAGTGCGCGCTGCAGGCTTCATGTGGCCATGCCCAACACTTACACTGGGAGATTCTGTCTGCAGCTGCCCACCATTCAGTTTTCATCAACTGGGTGGCAAACACCGATGAGGTCATTGCAATATAGCATCTGTAGGAACAAGTGCCCTCTATTTGTCATTCCGCTTATTCATATCAGATGAATGAGCAGCTTTTGGGGAGTGTATCATACATGTGCATGAAACTCCAAACTAAAAGAATAAGCCCCAAAGAAAATCTGATCTGCACACACACTGAAATATAAGCTTGTTATGCTCCTTATGGCTGTTGAGGAGTGCCAAAATATATATATCATGGATCCTAGAGGAATTTTCAACTCTCGAACAAAGACAATGTAGTTCAGCTAATGCATAAAGTGCTGTAAGTGGTCTATCTCTCAAACAGGAAGTGTAAAATGTCAATATCACATAAAAGATGTTGTTATTGCTCAGTGGGACACACATGAAGGTTAGAAACTTCCTACACTCGTGTGCGGTGATCTGTTAAAAGTGAAGAAAACCACATTAACAACCAAGGCTTTTATTTTGTAATATTCATTTATTGTTCAATAAAAATAGATTTTAAAAAAGTGACGTGATGTCTCCTTCATGACTTCGCCTGATGGATCTGCCAACAGCTCCTTGTAAACATGGGGCTTCTACTTTATTTTTTGACTGGAGAGGGAATTCGAGCCCCCCCTCTTCCCCTTCAGCATAATCTTAAGACAGACTCCTGCCTATAACTTTACTGACCTTTAACCCCTTTAGTGATGACAGCCCCACATTCACTTACTTTCATATTTAGGGCAGATACAGTACATTCATCCCCTGCTCTTGTTTGTCTATGTACATTGTTCGGTTTGTTGTGTGATTTGTTTTTGCAGTTGGCCCTCGTAAAAACCGCTTTTAACAATGTGAATAAAGAAGACATCTAAGCGCTAACACAAGAGTAAAACCAATTACAACTTTTAACATCAGTTTGTCTTAAGACATCTTTATACAGTAGTTACACATAAACACATCTTTGAAGGTGTAAGGAAACTAAACTCTGTAAACACTTTGAGAGATGCCACTGTTAACTCCCCCTGTGACAGGTTCGACAGCATCCTGTGAACCTGTAATGCTACAGTAACTGAGGCCTGGTCCACTGATTTTCATCAAACTCTCCTCTTTTGGACCTTTCTGGTGCTACATTTGGAAATGCTGCAGGTTATTATAATGGTATGGTGTTGCTGAGCTGGCTTAATGTCTTACAGCAGGAAAAAGTATTTATAAGATGCTGAAAAACAGCTCATATAAAAAAATAAATAAAAGACAACAGCCTGCAGTTCCTGTGAGTGTGAGATGTGGAGTTGGATGTAAACAACGCACAGACTGTCCTGTTTCAGATATAAGGTGAGGTTTCATAGACTGTATAGTGTGAACAGAGAAACCAAAACTTGGCACAGGTTCCCAATAATTAGCGAAAAGGGATGGGTTCTATTGTTAAGAGGCCCTGGTTTATTAATATAGTTCAACACATCAGTACAATACCTCCATCAGTGTTTTGGTAATTAAGGTAATCGACATATTAGACACAGAATTCGGGTGTCACAGGAAGCTCTCGACTGAACTTGCAAGGTGAGGGTCACATAACTATGTTTTGTTGATTGAAGGGACCCTCTAGATGGGTTTTTTTAAACTAACTATTAACTAGAAATGATGTTTGCATGAATATTTATAATAGATACAATTCCATCAAAATTAAGACACATAGCAGGACTCTTCTCAAGTACACCATGCTTTATTCACCAAACGTACCGTCCCCTATGTTTTGATTAAAACATCAAAAGAAAGGGGACGATACGTTAAAACATTTTGATGAAATTGCATTGGAGCTCAAACTGGTCTGCATCTCCATGTGTGCATTCTCAAAGTAAGAAATTGTTGTATAATACATATAATGTCATATAATATGCTTGTTAGACGTCTGTAAATTATTCTTTATAATTGTTTGCATTGTTAAAATCACCATTTGTCAAAACTAAATAGAGGTGAAAGAATAAAGAAATGTGATAAAGATTTACTGCGTTTTTTTACTTTGCAGTACAGTTTTACTTGTTTTTTTTAGGGACAGTTGTGTTATCTGCATCTTTAATGTCGAACTTCTCCAAAAAGTTAGCAAGGCGACCAAAAACTAGCCTACTGATGCCTCCAATATTCTCCATTGGTCACATGACCACTGCATTGTAAGTCGTAGTGGTTTGTCGAGGGTTTCTAAAATATTTATTTTAACCATCGTACAGTTAAGTCCTTTCATGTATTAGTCTTATTTTGAAGCAGTTTAGGAGACAGTTTGGAATACCAGGTATGTTACTTTGCTAACAAACACGGGGCCCTCTTAACAACTTGAGTCATCCCTTTCACACTAGAATCCCCTTGGGGAGACCCTGCTCTAGACTGACGGGCACCACTTTCCGATGCATCTGGGAATACCATTGAACCAAACACAACAAAACACTGAACTGGTTCACTTTTAGCACAGCATGACTACAGTACCTTAGATGTACTCAGCACAATTCTGGAAGGTTTACATGCTTTTTTCATCTATTAGAAAAACAAAAAGAATCAAGTATTGCTTGTTTTTTCAGTGTAGTGACAATCCAATTTAGCTGGTTTTATTTTGTGTTACTTCACAAAATGAGATGATCATACTTGTAAGCTACACTACGACTGAGTCTGCTATACAGAGGATTCGTTGCTGCGAAAGAGAGAAAAAGAGCACCAGAGAGCGAGTGCCAGGTTCTAAGAGATGCAGCCTCTACCCTCCTCCTCTCTCTCTCTCTCTCTCTCTCTCACTCTCTATCAAGCTCTCTCTCCCTTGCTTGGCTGCTTTGCTACCAGACAGTACAGTGGCCAAGAGCAGTTGAGTGACAGGCTGACGGGCCAAATCGTCGGGGCGATTGCGTCCCCAAGCGGAGACGCCAGCCCCCCTCTGTACTTCTCACTTCCTTCCTGCCCTCTGGGCCGGGTCCAGAGCCCACATCCTGGGAACATGGGGCCGGGCGGCTGCAGCCGACAGCTCTTTGGGAATGACACAATGAGAGAGTTCATAGGAAAAGCCTTATCCGCGTGTGGCTGGGGAGAAGATGATGTTGCCCATCTTGTTTTGGCAACACACACGGCCCGATGTGCCGGCGTCAATCATGCCAGAAGTCAAAGTGACGCTCCATTAATCTTGCTCAGCATCACAATATTTTTCACAATGATTTCTGACAGCACAAAAAACTCTTTTCTCTTTGTTCCATTTTGTTATTGTTCATTTGGTGTCCATATGAGAGCCTCTGATGTTCATAAAAAAGGTCCTGCGTACGGGAGGAACGCATTTCATGGAAACAGAAGCCTTTCAGATAACAAGAACGCAGCAGAAAATATGCCAAAATGTTATAGCTGCAGTTGTGGACGGTAACACCACAGTGAGAGAGAAAACAGTGTAGAGTTTAGAAGCCTGTTAGGAGCCTGTTTGTACAAATGTAACAGTTCCTTAATTTCCATACACATTTATCGAAAGAGGATCTGCACATGGCAGGAACTCTTAAATGTTAAAACTTTATCTCATTGTCTCTACTGGAAGTATCACACTGTGGTGGCCCGGCTGTGTTTGAGCGCTAGTGGTGAATACTCCTTAATGCGAACGCAAAGTTTGCCCCTCAGCCAGGGATTTTGGAGCTCCAGGGGACAGAAATCATCCTGAAGCCACTTTTCTCTATTGTCTACAACCAGCACGAGGCTAAAGTGCTTCAACTGTTCAGGACTGTAGTACACGCACTGCTCCTGTTCACCACCGCCTCCACTGCTGCCGAGCATGCGTCGAGACACAATGTTCATCTCCTGAACCACCAGCTGGATCATCTCCCGTGCTGATGTTCCTGGAGTCACACAAAGCTGAAACGCAGGAGAAAAAGGAATCATGAAACAAACACAACAAAAGTTTTTTAGATGAATTACTTCATCAAAACATATCTATACCTTAACACTGGTCTCCTTTGGCAGGCCTGTGCGGTACTGTGGGTACACTCTGAGCGTGGCATGACAGCCTTTCCTGAGGGCAGCAGGTGATGGCGAGGAGAGTCTCTGTGTGCCACTGTCCTCTGATAGTGTACGCGCTGGTGGAAGTAGTGGTAGGCAGCGCTCAGCCGAGCAACAGCGGTCCACTGACGAGGGCCTGTGCCATCTTCGCTGTGGCGAGGTGGACGGCGAGGGGCAATTAGTGTGGTAGCAGTAAGGCTGGTGTTGGGCTGAGGTGGTGGAAGGGAACTCCAGGCTGCTGGTTCTCACACAGAAGGCCTGTCTCTTCTCTGTGATGTGCAACAGCTCAATCTGCCTGCTAGGCAGGATGAAGTCACTGTCAAACAGCTCCGGGGCGCCCCTTCGCCTTTCCCCACCACACCGGACTCCTCCCCCTCCACCACACCGCTCACCTTCCCTCCCGTGCTGTGGCTCCGAGGCCTGGAGGACATCTGGCGTGGAATCCCTTAGCCCCCCCCCTCCACGTCCACCCCCGCTGAGACACATCCCTCCTCCTGAGCTGCTCCCATCGCTACGCAAGAAACCGCAGGGCTCCAGCGGTGCAGACGATGAGAGGGGAGAGGGGGGCAACAGGTCCAGCTCACGGGGACTCTGGGCACGGCTGGAGTCGTAATCACTGTCGGTGGTGAGGAAGACCTCAGAGGAGCCCTCCTCGTCTGATAGTCCAACAAAATCTGCAGTATGTGAAAAGAGTACAAAATCATAATGTGTGTTAATGTCAATATGGTAATTTTGCCTATATTAATAACAGCACCATATAACCGCAGAATCAGACATGTTTCTGTTGTCAGATTCTGACCTGAGTGCTTACGGCAAGGTTCGGGTGAAGGCATGGGGGAGGGCATGAAGTCTGGCTGAGAAGAGGTGGAGGGAGGCTTTTCGGGCAACACTTCCTTGGAGAAGTCAATTATCCAGCTTATGGAGATGCCTCCCGTTGGCTGCTTGTAGCGGGCATACTGCAAGGCATCCATGATCCACCTTGCATCACGCCACACCTCCTCCATTTGCTGTTGTACAGTCATCAAGATCATGATAGTTAATCTCAGTAACAATCAAATGTATTATTGGATTCATTTGAATCCATCTCCCTCACAAATACTAGCCTTCATAACCCAGATGTTGCAGTGGTATGTGTGTAAAAATATATTTATTCCAGCTGTACTGTGCTTTGCTTCGTCTTTACAGGCGGACTGAGTGGTCTTACCTGCATGTGTTCCTGGACCTGCTGGTGTTTCTTCTTAGCAGCAAGCAGCTCGGCCTCAGAGAAAGCCTCCCTTAGTGCCTGCTGGGACATGAGGGACTCCAGCTCAAGCAAAGCCGATACTCTGCAGTACTGGCCAATGAAACTGGGGCAATAGGCATTAAAATGGACTGTGGGAGAATCCAACAAGAAAAAAGACATGTGAGATGCTGTTCCACTAAAAACAAAGAAACATATATATATTTTGAAAAATCAGTTGGTGTCAAATATTTGTTTTATATAATGCAAAACGTGTGATTAGTGAACCATTTCTGCCTAAAATTTTATATACTGACCCAGTTCAAAGATCTGCAGGGGCAAGGTGAGGAAGCCAGAGCGGGGTGAGTATGGGTTATTCTGACCAGGAGCTGTGCACACTTCATCTGAAGGTGGCAGGAGGAGCAGGAAAGACACTTTCTCCCCAAACTCCAACACTTCCTGGCTGTAGATACGGAAGTCCTGTGCCTAGACATACAGAGACAGGTGATCTCAGTGGGCCTTTGGATTCACAGGAACTAAGTTTACTTTAAGTCTAACCTTGAAGCAGTGACAAAATACTGATATTGTGTCCACTTAAATCTTTCAGTTTAATTTGTATCCATTTTTTGTGTGCAAGACTGCAAGATGATATAGATTATTAGCCTAATTTTTATCTTTTAAAATGTATTTATTTGTTAGACAATTTAACATTGTATTTGATAGATACAAGTAAAGGGCAATACTCTGGGTTGCACTCAAAATACAAAAATAATTTAGATTACTAGGCCACAATGCAGTCAGTTTTCACTCATTTAAGTATCTTGAAAGCAGAACCAGACGCTCCAACTCTAATAGTGGAATGAGAAGTAAGGAATAAGGCAACTGCATGGTTTGCTGAAATTAGAGGTTATTGCATATCACTAATCCACTGTTGGGATCTTTTGTGGAGCAGGCTGAGAGTAAAAGTATCTTATTCCTAAAGCCATATTTGTTGTTTTTGAACCCGTTTTTAACATTGTATATATATTCATGTCCCTATTCATGTAACTTTTCATAGTACATTGTAGCAGTCTGTAAAGTTCTTTATAGTGCTAGTTGGAAGAGTGGGTGGTAGAAGGTTAAAGCCAAAAGGACAATGATTGCTGTTGTGCTGGAATTCAAACCATGTTCTTTTACAGAAATCATGTAGAATTAGTGGTCAAACCAGAACTGGCTGATCATCCATTGGAATCATTTTCATTGCTTTGAGCTTCTACTGCCAGCCTCTCAAACTTTGCTGGATAACTTTTAAGGGGTTTCTACTGGTTCTGTGGCATCAGACAGTCATACACAAAACACAATTATTTGCATTTGGTAAAGAAATGGTTGCAAGTCTCACTACAGAACCTTATGCTTATGGACAACTTGCAGTTTCAGACTGACTCTAACCTGATTGCCAGGGACATTAATGTGTGCCATCAGGTCCTTGAGGGCGCTGCGCAGGTCCTGTAGGAGGCGATGTGGAGCACTCTGTACTTCATCGTCCATTTCCAACGACTCCTCCAGAGAGCTGAGAGCCTGCAGCCACTGCCACTCCTCTCTAAGACAACACACGTAGAACACACACTCAACACACAAATGCTAAAAAGGTTGCATCAATCCACTATCTTTGTCATTGTTTTGCCAGTATATATGCCCATTCTAAACCCATATACACTGAGCAAAATGAAGTGACATATGATTCCCACCTGGATACGTTGCTGTTGTCCCGAATTTTGGTGTGACAGAGGACGTTGGGGAGTTTTTGGGGCACCAGCACTCTGATTTGCTCCACTGATGTACACAGCTTCAGATAGCCCAGGTATAAGCCTGGAGACAACATCTTCCTGCTCCGCCTGTGATATGCCAGCTTCTCCTGGGAACAACAGGTGGACAGAGACTAAGTAAGAAGACGGTATGGTAGTGTTGACTGGGATTGATAGTGTGGTGACACTGATTCTAATTGTGTCTCTTTCCTCACAATCATTTAAAATATGTTGTTTTCATGTTTTGCTGTTGTTAGTCCTTCAGAGACTTCGGTCTAAAGTTGTTCCAGCATGTTTTAAGTGGAAGTAAGCACTGCAAAAAAGCCCATCAGCACATTTTTATGTATTTCATCATACAATTTGTTCATAACTGGCCACAAAACAAATATTTCAGTGAAATGTGGTTTTGCCAAAGGGAGTCTCCACCATTGTTTTGGAACCACAAGGCCAAACCAACTTACACTGGAGACAAAACAGCATTGCAACAATGGTATCAAGTTTACCGGGCTATATAGACAAAATCAACTTGTGGTTTGTGGTCGTTCTGAACAAAACAGCCACACAGCGTTAGTTACAAAACACAAAACAACAACAATTAGCTAGATTATCATCATCACGCCCACAATGCTGAAATTCAAATGTAACAGTTTCCACAGCCTGCATGAGCAGCTGATTAACATTCAAGTTGGGTTGGCATGGATCCAAGATTTGACCTGACATCTGGCATTTTAATTAATTTGATGGCAAGTCAATTCAATATGTGTCCTTACAAAGAAGGTGACAAATGGAAGAGGGGAGTCATGATGATTAATGTTTGTCTAAATAAAGAGTGTCTGCACAAGCAGCACTCATAATTGGAAGCACATTTCAATTTACAGTCCTATTGTTTCAGCCTTGTGTTTACTGGTTTTTCTGTGAATGAGTTTAAAAACATTAGAGCATACCAATAGCAGTAAATAAATGTTTTCCAGTGCTTTTAGAGGCATTTTGTTGTTGACAAAGTGCCTTAAACTACACTGTTTCATCTTGCTAAATCTCAGGGTAAAAAAAAATGCAAAGAATGAGCATGATAAAAACCACAACCACTGCTGACAAACCCTTCTACCATTCCAGCAGCCTGTCTCCAAAACTAAAGCAAAAAATAACCAATTTTCCAAAACTGAACTAACTTCCAATCACTGCCCATCTATTCCTGTAGGACTCACATGGAGTGTGATGAGAAGCATGTCCAAGGCAGTGGGTTCTTCAGGGGACGAGATGGACTTGCGTTGGAGCTGGAGTTTACAAAGCTGCGTCCAGCGAACCCCATCAAGGTTGGGACAGGCACTCATGTCCTTCAGGAGCACCAGCAGGGCATTACCATGCTTGTCTTTGATTGGCTCAAAATACACCTGGCCAAGGTCCTGGGTTCCAAGCATTCCCTGAGGAATGACATCAAATAATAATTATACTGCTGTTCAGTGATTTTCTCTCTGTTTAGAGTAGAAGCACGAAAGCACAGAATTAAGGTATTCACTAAAATTCTTCAGACCACGAAGTTATGAGGTCATAGTTACCACAACTGCCACAATTTCAATTACAAAAGCACAGTTTGTGATATTTAAGTCTACTGAGAATTGCACTACCTGTAGCTGGGACACAGCCTGCAGCATCTTGAGGCGTGTCTGCAGAGTACAAGAACAGGACGACTGGGAAGGACTGAGACACTGCTGTAGCCAGGGAATCTCCTCCCATAGATACGATACCTGGCACATGGATTGGAAGTTATTAATATGCAAAACATTAGCTTACGATCTACTGTTCTGTTTGTTTGGATAATGTACAAATGTAATATGTGTCCATGTAATTACTAAATTATCAATTACTAATCAAAAACCCATTATTATCACCTCATTAAATACGTAATTCCTGTTTAATAGTCAATTAAAGGGACTTATTTTGGTAGTACGGTAATGTTTTCATTGTTATTAGTTCTGTGATGATTGTATTAAACAAAACAGTTTAAAGTTTGTTGTTGTACGTTTCTACCTATCTTTGTCTCTCTCTCTCTCTCTCTCTCTCTCTCCCTTTCTGTCTGTCTGTCTGTCTGTCTACCTTGGTAAACCAGAGGAAGTCCTGCATCAGGGAGCTGGGGTAGGAATCTTCAACTTCCACAATAGGAATCTGGTCCTCTGGAGTCACCAACACATTGTCATCTCTGTAGAATATCGATGTTAGATAGAGACCTCTGGAAGATAACACAGATAAAGTTAATGAAGAAACACTACAGCACTGAATGGCTTTCTTAATGGTTTTACTGTACTGGAGAAGAGTTGACCCACTGTCATATTTAATATTCAGTGTTCTCTCCAAAATGAATACTCACTGAAAATATATGTAAATTGACAAACACTAAATTCATATTAAAAGTCTGCAAACTAGAGGTGATCTATTTTCACATCCCATTTACAGTAATGGAGGAAAGCTGGACCAAAAGATAATGTACCTTTTCAAGCTTTTAACAAATTTGCTGGTGGGTTGGAAGAGGTGGCGCAGGCTTTTGGATACTGAGTGCTTCCTTCCTTGTGGTGGAGCTTTGCATTGTTCTGTGTGGACAAGACAGAGAAAAGAGGGGGTTATGTTAATTCTATAGCAACAGAATAACTCAGTCAGATTACTTCTTTTGAATGAATATCGGGATGCTCTTGATGCTTAAAATTGGGGGCCCTTCTGAGAAACTGTGGCCCGGCTCTGACTGGCTGTCTGATTTTCTTGCAAACACAAATGAATACCTCAGTCCTGACAACCTCTAGAAACATCTCTTCCAGTGACAGGCTGTTACCTAATTGACAACCAACCTGACACGTCCAACAACACGGTCGAAGTGGAATGTTTTCCGACATTTCATGCGCTCCAGTGGCCCAGCACCATTTGACAGTCATGCTGGCTGCCAACAGCAGACTATGGGCCTTGAGGGAACCACTAGCTCTCAGATCCCAGAAGGACACTAACTGTATGTGTATGTATATGTGTGTGTGTTTACCTGCATATACTATAGCTGCTGGAGCATGGCATGGCTTGAGCTATAGCCATGAGTGGAGCCAAGGAGCTGTAGTAATTTGTGTGTGTGTGTGTGTGTGTCTGTATGTGTCTTAACCCTTTGCCACTCACTGACAGGGAGGTCAGTTAAGTCTGTGGGGACATGTTTATTTTTAGTGGGCCTGGAGGGGGTTGGAGGCGAGAGAGGGAGGTGTGTGTATATATGTATGTGTGTGTGTTTGTGTGGGCGCCTGTTGGTGAGATAACGCACCTCCCAACTCATTAGAAACCCTGAGTCCCAAACCCTTCACAGATTCCCTCTCCTTCCCTCCCAGGTGATCTTACTCCAGCCCTGGGCCACTTACAGTCAATAAATCCCCCCATTCAGGACCCGAAAAGAACTAATTTTCTCTTCAGGTGGACGATTCGAGGTGGAGTAACAAGCAAAAACAGCGCCCCTCGACCCCTCTCACCTCCCCAAATTTCTCTTTACTCGCGTGTCTGTTCAGCTCCAGTCCTCCTGGCCTCAGTCCCTGTTTGACACTGAGTAAGACAGACAAGTAGGGCCGGCTGCTGGGGTGCCTGTGTTAGTCAAGGCCTCTTTCACAGTTTAATTAATAGTGTTTGGACAAGAGGGAGAATGTGGCGTGGGCTATAAGCCGGGCTGCGATGGGGGTGCGTACATGGACATGTGGGAGAGAGTCAGAGTTGAAAGAGGGAGCATGTACTTGAATATTTGTGTCTGTTCATGTACATGTGTATCTATGTGTGTGCCTGTCTATCTTTATGTGTGTATATGTATGGACAGTAGACAGGACGACTGGCGGGCTGTGGGGGGTGGAGCGGGGGGGCAGTAGTCAGTGTTAATTTATGCCCTCTCCCGACTCCAGCCCAGGACTCGTCTCTTACAGGAATAACAAACATGACCCCGGGACACGCCACCTTGGCTACCGTGCCTGAACTCTCAAGCTCAATCAGTCGCCGTCTGAAGAACCAAGAGCCACTCAATACTGACTATTATATTGCGTCTCGCCCTATTGCAAATATGGTCTGGCCACAGTGGACAATAGTAAGTGGGTGAGTGTGTTTGGGCATGTGGGTGTGCGAGGAAAAGAGAGACAACTTGCTCAACGCTAAATGCAGTTTGCCGTCATGTAAAAGAGTCAGTGTGGACAGGTTTTGACACTTATGGGACCAGCTTACAGCCAGCAGTGTTTGGGGATATAAACAGCCTGAGTGTGAGAGAAGTTGATCTGCATTTTGTCACAGAGAGAGAGGTATTCAGCAGAGGAAGGGCTGAGTCATGGAAAGACGCATAAAGGGGTGGGGGTTGTTGAGACAGAGGGGAGGGTATTATTTTTGAGGTGGTATGTCGTCTTAGGGTGTATGGCCCCCGAAGTACTTGTCGTGCCTGAGATTGTAAAGTGTCTGTCAAGGTGAGATGAAACACAGCAATTGGTGAGACATGTCACACCTGCGAGTTGAACCGTCCATTGCTCATGTTTGTTTACACCAAGAATATTTCTGAGACTGAACTAGACGGTAGCTAAAAATTCTGATGTGTTTGTTTAAAATGTGATGGCTGTCGGGTTAATGTCAGAAGCTCATACCACAGCTCAGGGTACATTTTACTTCAACTTCTGTGCTTTCCTTCAACTGATATCAGTACTAAAAAGCAATTTTAAGGTTAAGCCTATTTGTGGTCAGGTAGTTTCAAGTTGTTATTCTACCTAAGAATTTGCTGCATGTAATTCCATAGGAGAACCGGATGGCAATTTAAAACATCTTGTATGATATAACATGTGCTCATATATAGTTCAATGAGTACATCAAGTCACTATCATTTAGGGGTTTTGGGTTTCACTAGGGGTCAACCATGCAAACCATTAATGCTCTCATATTACTGTTCAGTCTTTTAGGTAAACACGCCCACCAAATCGATCAAAAAGTTGTTGATACCATGGCAGACACAGTGGCGGTGAGCTTCTTTTATCTGCCCAAGTAGCTGGTCCAGTGCCTCCTTCTGGCCTCTCTGATGTGGAGCCCGGCCATCGATATCCCTCCAACCTGCAGACAGAGGTAAGAAAGACAACGTTAGAGAAATTCTGTATTTATCAAGAGTTCTAATGGTTTAGGATGATTTAGGTTCTCTAGCCAGGTCTCTTAGGCTATACTGTGCATTAACGATGGCGAAGCAAAGCTGATGAAAAGAAAGTGATTCTAGTCTGTAAAGCATTAGCTATTTTGCTCTTATTCCCTAGTGAAAAACACAAAGTTGTAACCATTTTAGTGGTATCGCTCTATGGATGGTGTCGGCCCGTCAGTACTCCACTTCGGCCCAGATGGAAATATCTCAGCAACTATTGGATGGATTTTCATACAGATGTGTACATACAGCGGATACAATGGACAGACATTAAATAATTTTTTTACATGGAGTTGCAGAGATGAGCTGATATATAAGACCTCCTGCTGTATGTTTGGTCCAGCAAAATGAAGTTTTAGGTACATTGGGTATTAGGAATGGTCTTCTCAATATGTATCATAAAACTTCTTATATTCACAAAAGGCAGTTTGAACACAATGAAGAGAGATTGTTTTGTTCTTCATATTTGGAGCCACGTTTTCAGACCAACAGTCTTCATTTGATTGTAGATCAGTCCAGACATTTACTATTTTTCTATGAATAAAAAAACATCAGGCAATGGTGACTACTGTCAGTCGTTTTCTTGTAAGATTATGATTACTAACAGGTTGCTGCTGGGAAAGCATACAGATTGTGCTCACAGTGGAAAGATAGAATACTATTGATTCAAAGCTTGAATGTCAGCATTTTTTGGTTTATTTGAAATTGGTCAACTTGGACCTATGGATTATGGAGCAATAATATGGACTTTCATGGACTACTTTTAATTTGAAAAATGCCTTAGAATCACACTACTGGGCAGCAGGCTCACAGAGACTTTTAAGGTATAAAATGCTTAAACTACAGATTAATGCTTTACCTTTTCTTTCTTGTAGTGATTTTAATTGTAGTGAAAATATCAGTAATCTAGATTATACTTGGCTGATGTGACACTGATGTATTGTACAACCATACAGTGCTGACACATACATCAGTAGGTCTCTAGGTGAGGTTAGTCTGGAGACAGAGGATGGGGTTAATCAAATTCTGCTCAGGACCCTGAAAATCTTTGGGCTGGCCCTGTTCCTGAGGCCTCCAATAGTAGGAGTTTTGAGGTGCGTGAGACGGTCTGCTTCTCAAACAGGTCTAGTGTGTTCACAATAGGAAACAGCACCCACCCCGGTGTGGTTGGCTGACAGACAGCTCCAGAGAGCTCCACTGCAACTCACTATGCTGCACATATTTGGGCTCAGAACAGTCAGTATGCACAGACAGACACACACACACACACACACATACACATACAAACATGCTGTGGCTGCTCAAGCGCCAGAGAGTGAGGAAAGTAGCACACCACACATTCCCGCAATGCCTCCAATATCAAAAGACTTAAATAGTTGTCTGCATCTCTGACTGTTTCTATTTCTCTTTGTCTTTGTGTTTTTCTTCTTGGGTTTTGTGTTCTTCCTTTCCAATCATATAGACACTTGTACAAACACAAAAGCATTGAACTTTCTGTGCACTGTATTATAAACACACAATTTCCCTTCCCTCCTCATACATGACCAGCTTTGCAGAAAACGATCCTTCAGCACCTTCTGCCTTCTGTGTTAGTAAGCCAGCATCCTTGCTTGCTCACTGGAGAATGTGTCAGCGATAACTCGCCCCCTTACCACCATCAACCACCACCAATCCCCAACCCCCCATCACCCCCAGCCCACCTCCCTCTCCTGGAGCCCCCCGGAGGGCGCGTGGGGCTGAAACACGGTGCGCTCTATTCCCGGAAAGGTGCCTGTCCCGACAGGACAAGCGGGCCCTTTAATGGGCGTCCACGGCCCGGTATAAGGCCCCCACTGTTGGGGCCGCGCCGCATGCTACAGCACAGACATGCAAATATTTCCAGTGGTAGGCCCAAATGGAAAACACAAACACGCAACATCGAAATTAGCTCTGAGAGAGGGAGGGAGGTGGACAGTAGAAAAAAAAGAGAGGGAAAGCCCAGTCTACTAAAATGAAGACACACACACACACACACACACACACACACACACACACACACACACACACACACACACACACACATGCACACACACTTGCTGAAAAACATGGTGTGCTGATGAGGACAAACATGTTCATGTGTTCCCCAGATGTGCACTAAGTGTGTCAACATGCACCCAATCACAGCACCTATGTTGAGTCTCCTACAGTAGGTGTGTACCAACTGTGCAGACTCAACAGGCTGCACACAAACAGCAATCATGAGAGGCTTATGGCCTACGCCATCAATTGATACACAGAATTAATTACTCTACATAAATGAATTCAATTCAATAACTTACAAAGCCACAAATGTAACCTTATATTAATTGGCTAAACATACAAACTATAGAAAAGAAAATTGCAAGTGCTCAATCTGTCCTCTGTAACTTATTAGAAAAAGATAGATAGATAGATAGATAGATAGATAGATAGATAGATAGATAGATAGAGAGAAAGGGAGAAAGAGGGTCAAAGCTGCTGTGGTGAGTCAACACCTCAGCTGTTGTTGCACATGACTTCACGGTTAACTTCTTGGCTGAACCCGGGCAGCTTCTTCTGCCAGCCAGCCCCAAACACCATCCTGAGGCTATGGTTACACACACTGACGTCCGCAGAGGGGGTCCCAAAACCCACCCAGCCTGCTGGCCAAGGAGGGTCCAGCTGTCACCCCCCCACCCCCCCCCCCCAATGATGTCAAAGCAACGTCGGAATGACGTTGGAATAACCAAATCGACTGAGTCCCTTTATGTGTGGGAAAGCACACACATCTTGCACCTAAGTCCTGTGTGAAAACGATTTTGCAGTGGTGTTAATTTAGTGAGGCCAGCCAAAACCCTTCGGGGGTCTTGTTTGGTTGTTAGCTGGAGGTTTTATACTTTAGTTTAAGTCAAATTCAGGCACACACATGAACATACACGATGGAGACTTACTGGAAGGTGCAGCGCAGGCAGGGATGGAAACTAGTGGAGGCCCCCAGCCTTTCATGTTGTAGGCTGACACCTGGACATAGTAATAGGTCCCCTGTAAAGACAGGACATGTGACAGTTAAGGCAAAAGTTTGTCACACACACAGTTAGAACCTAAAGAACACTATCTCTCAGTATTTGTTTGCGTAAAAGCATATACATATGTATGCGTGAGGTTTAGTGCATCTGTTTGTCTCTTGCTAGGTCTCTGTCTGTCTTCATTTCTGTATGTGTGTGTTGAGGGTGAAGGGTCTATCTAGAAGTTCTGTCTGTCTCTGTGCCCAGAGTGCAGACAGCAGGCCTCTGTCTCTCCTTTCTCAGCCAGATCAATCAAACCAGCCGCCGACACTTCCTGACCTCGCCTTGACCCCTGTCATGTGACAGGACTGAGCTTTGGCTGGCAGCAGGGGTCTTTAACAGGAGGAGGGGGGTTTCTCTCACACAATAACAAACAACCGGTGAAGCGTCCATTTGTCTACACGCCTGCTTAAAAATGCCAAACATAAATCAGGTGGCAGGCTACCAAGCTGCTCTTTTTTCTTTTTTTTTTTTATCATTTTGGAGGCTGTTTTACAACTGTTGCTTATGAAGGGTCAACAGCCAAGACTGTCAACAAATAACAAATAAACTGTGTTTTCCAATTGTGTTTTCAGCAGGGCCATAATCCCCCCCCTCCCCATCATTTGGGATTGATGGTGACTACTACTTGTGTGTGGAGTTTGATGTATGTAATAAAGAAGAGTCACTTGGGAAATGCCTAAGCAAACGCTTCGAGCTCGCATGTAAATAATATCAGGCGCCTTTATGTGGGAAAAAAGCGTCTAAATTTTTTATCGGTCAGCACCAACAGCTGGAGAAGCTAGAGCTTAGTGGTTCTTTGTGTTGCTTTGTCACCCATAAACCACCAGATAATGCATGACTGTGTCTTTTTAACTGGTAGTTCTTAGAGACTAAGGTGGGAACAGAGGAAAAAGGACTACTGCACTAGGTTTATGTGAAAATGGTGTGATGTACAAGGGGTGCAGGGTTGCAGGGGAGGAAAAACACACAAGTAGATGTTCTATCCAGGAAACCCTCAATCCTCAAGTGTAAAATGTATTTTAAGTGTATTTTCAAGTGATATTTTATATATGTATATATATTATATATAAGAGATTTAGCTCTGTTATTTTGGATTCTCTGTTTTCGGCTGTTTGAATGACCAGACTGAAAAACTGATTGAACAATTCAGACTGTGGCAGCAGAACTTACAGAAGTGAGTCCAGTTATGTTGCACTGTAGCAGCGTGGTGTCCTCCACCACCATCTCACCCAGCAAAGGACTGAGTGAAGGAGCATTGCTCCAGCCCACTGCAAATACACACAAACACAAACCAACATTTTTAAACTTTCGATGAACACCTTAAGAAAAAATATAAATTGATATAGAACAATAAAAAAAATGCTTGTGACATTATATTTTTAACACTTAACAAGTTTTGGCGTCTCATTTAGCCCCAGAGCTTTTCATACTGAGCGGTTGGTTCTAAATGAAGGAGTGGGATGGGCGCTGACCTTTGTACTTGGTAACAACAGCAGAGTTGACACAGAGCGGTTCCTGGAAGTCCACCCTTAGACTGGTGCTGCTGCTGACAGACAGGCGAACTACACTGGGACCGTCTGGAGGGTCTGCGTATGTGGACAGACGGAAAGATGGCCAGTAAATAAGTAGAGGGACAGACAGGTAAACATAAAAACACATACACATACATTGGCAGCTTAGTGTAATGACATAATTTAGTCTTTCTGGTCTGTTGCACAATACACTCCTCAGATGAAGAAGTGGGAAAAGTTTAAAAAGTAATTGATCCTTGTGGAATTGAAGCAATTTACAGTCAGTCATAGATGGAAAGACAACAATGCTGCAGCTGTAATTTACCATCTTCACAAATTAATCAACACTGAGAAGCAGCGATAATGCCACTGATTGTGATTGTGAAAACATAAACATCATTTCGACATGCGGTGTGTAATTTCTATCCATGTTCACCCAACTTACCCATCAAACTACATGAGAAAGTGGAAATACAAAGAGGGGAACAATCTTTTTTTCATCAAAGTGCAGATTGGTTTGGGTGGAAAGTAGGAGTGGGTGCGTGTGTCTGCTTTCACGGGGGGGTGGCTGTCTACCCTACCACTAAGCGTGTCATGAAAGGCCCATAAAAAATTAAAGCAGGAATACAGGCGTGTTATGTTTGCACACACACAGACACACATAGAGTCGTGTGCTAGGCTTCCCAGTGTGGAAGCCATTAACTCAGCCCAGACAGAATGCCAGGAGAGCGTAAAAGGGTGCAAAAATGAAAACCAAGAGACCACTGTTGAACTGATCTTAGCGGTAAACTTCCGGCTCAGCACACACAACCAGACTTACTAGCATGCTCGAAGCCCGTCTGCATGCGTCGGAAGAGCCGGAGCCTCCACTCCCAGGCCTTTAGCTGCCTCTCCCGGTCAGATCCCTCCCGCTCACCAGGACCCTCGCTTCCAACCTGGGCTTGAAGCTCCGACACTCGCTGCTCAGCCTCCTGCACCAAGGTGGCCAAATGCACTGCTCGGCCCTCCAGACTCACAACTAAGGATGGCATGGACAGCGAGATAGAGAAAGAAGAGTTTCATTAAACGTAGGCACATGTTAAAGTGACACCATTATTTCAAAACTACTTTGACATCCATAAAAAGGCTTTTATATTCGCACATAAAAAAGGCAGTTGGTAAATTCAGCTCAAAGCTGAGCAATGCTGGACTATAAATTTGAGTGGGCTGTTTTTCCAACCAGGATTCAAAGAAAACACTGTGAACCGACAATAGTGAACATTGAAAAGAAAATTCTAGTGTATGAGCATTACTTTTTGGATTAAAACTATTGAACCTAGTGGAATTTTACCAAGGTGGATGTTTTAAGGAACAAAACATTATTTACCAGCTCAATTAGACATGTAAATAAAGTGTTACTTTTATCAAGTGCTTTAACTGATATTGCAAAGAAACCCTCTGTTGCAAATTGCTTTTGCAGGCCGCACTTTTTAATGTCTTTGTTTGCCAAAATGCTGTGGCAGATTCCTCAATAAACTTCATTTAACTAAGCAGTCCCTCTTTAAGGATGACATCACCTCCAAAATGACACACAAAATGTGGCAATGACAGCGAGAGGGGCAAGAGAGGGAGGAGTATTCTTCGTATGCGGTTATAAGGGAAAACAAAATGGTGGGAACATGCATAAGCATCATTTTAAACTGCCATTGTAAAACTATTTTTCTGCAAAACTGGTGGAAAAATGTGTATAACTGATCTATTTATATCATATACCACAGCCTCACACAGCCTCCACTAGAAGAATGTTTTTCTTGGTGTTACTACAACAATGAACATTGATGTTTACTTAAACAAAAAACACATCACTATAGTAGATGAGATGTAACACCAAATGAAAATATCCAAATCCCAGCCGTGAGGTAAGTGATAGTGGCTTGCATAACACAAAGATCAAAGATTCAAATCCAATTGCACTTGAAATCGCCAACGTGCACAGATCAATCTAAATAAAAGTACAGGTAATGTAAAGATGTTAAGGTCACAAAGGACAGTAGCTGTACTGTACTTCTTCTTTGGTGGCTGGTCATTCCTGGAGTGTTTGGGACTGGTGTGTGTCTGTGTTTAGTCTGTGTGGTCTGTCTTTGTTCATTGTAGATTCCACTGTTGAGCGTTAGATTCCACTGTTGACAGTAAGTTTAAAGCTCCGTGTCAAAATGTCCATCTGGGTGTTTAATTCTGCGGCTCTCTCCGTGTCTCCGCAGTGGCTGTGAGCTTCTCTTTGAATCTCAGTGTCTCTTCTAGGTGTCAGTTTTTTGTTGTTCTCTTCAGCCACTTGTGTAAAGACTTAAAGGCTGTTTGTCACATTGAAAACAGGTAATGCCAGGGTCGGGGTTTAGTTTTAAGGTAAGGGTTAGGATTGTTACTAAGGATCCTTGGACTTGGACTGATGGAAATAACTGTCCATTTTGATTTACATTTACAGCCCTTCCAGGCCAAGAAACCGGTCCAGATGCTGTCACCAGTGTGTACGTGTGTCTTGATTTGTCCTTATTTCACATCAAGGCCAGATCCTCCACAGAACATTAAAGTGGCTTTGTCCTATTGTGAGCCACCGAGGGATTTATAATGTGAATGTGAAGTTGCTTTTGAGAATTTGTTTGATTGTCTTTGTCTGCCCTTTTGTCTGTCTCTCTGGTAACCGCACAAAATGAACTCAAGCATTGCAATATCAATAAGCATCGGAATCAATTCCTTTCAAAGCTCAAGAAAAAGCCTGCAGTGTCTTTGATGTCAATTCTCCTCAGATGGAGTTTGATTAGTACATGCTTATAGAAACAGAAGGCAAGCCATTACTTTCTTTCTCTGTTTCAGTCTTTTGAACACACACACAAACACACACACACACACACACACACACACACACACACACACACACACACACACACACACACACACACACACACACACACACACACTCTCTCACAAGTTATTTGAGTTCTGGAGAATAAGTACAATCAAAGCAAACTTCAGTAAACATCACTTTCCATTCAAGTGTTTTCAATTTAATGATACCTTTATAAGACGTCTGGCTCAGCTCTTGAGAACTGTGTGTGTGTGTGTGTGTGTGTGCGTGCACAAGTACAAACACAAACAGCCTAGGAGCCTCACTGGCGAGTTCTAATCATTAACAGAGGAAGGGAGCAGAGGCTCAGCAGATCACAGACAGTGAAAAGTGCTTACGAAGATGACTAATATTGCATCATTATTACCACCCCTTCATTTCCTTTAATATGTTTTCACTGCCAGCAGAAAACACAAAGAGATGCGTGAGTCTGTCAATAGTGTGTGGATGAATGCAGTACTGGTATGCACGATAAGAGATTGTGTTATGAGTTATGTGTGCATTGTTGCTTTGGGCAACACCTGCGGTTGCTTTGGTGGCAGCTGATGTTGTCGTGACAGCGGCTTTGGCTCCCACAACAACAGTTCTTGATTCATCATAGAGCGACTATTGAAACCCAAACAAACCTTGTCTGGTATCATTTCTTAGCTACGCTAAATCTAGTTAGGAAAAACAATGATTACAAAACTTTCAGTAAGTGACAGATGTGGTTTTGGGTTTCACTCATATAATAATGTGTGAAGTTGTGACTGGCAGAAATCAACTAACTTTGGCTTTTTCCGTATATCACACTAGATTTAATTGGCTTAAGGATCAGGCAAATCAACTTACTTCCTGTTCAAAGCCAAGGTAGCATTTGGTATGTTGTGATTCACCTATAACCAAGCCAAAGTTCTACTAACAGAAGTGAAGAGCAGTCAAATTGTACTGGGAAAAGCATGATTACGTAAGTACAAGAGACTCAATACACAAGGGAAACATTGCTCTTATTAGCACAGAGACATTGTGGTGAGCCCAGAAAATATAAATGAACAGAACTACTAGACTCAGTTTTGTGTAAAGATTATCTTTGTGCAATTGTATGAACTGCAACAATAGGCTTAATAGTTGCTTTTATCAACTTTGCGTGACCTCCCTTTAAAATATGTTTTGAGTTTGATTTCATTGTGCTAATCTGTCACAGAAAATGAACACGCTCCAGCACGTGGGTGTTAGTGCTGTGCAGTAAAAAGAAAAAAAGAAATTAATTTGTAGCAAGTGTGCGAAAAAGAATTTTTTTTATTCTCTTCACGAGCACATTGGACAGCTACTGTAGGTGTTGTGAAATGTGCTCCAGGAACTGGATTGGTTCCATCAACATTCAAATGATCCCTTAAATCACAATGTCTTCATCCCCCTGTGACTGGGTGGGTACTACAGGTCTGTTGTGTTCCTCTACTCACAGTGGGGGCTCTCCTTGGCACCAGCACGCAGTAGAAGCTTGGCCATGGGCACATTGTTGGTCATGATAGCGATATCAAGGGGCAGGAGGCCCTCACTGTTTGGGGTGTTGAGGTCCAGCTCCTCCAGACTGTACTGGGACAGAAGCAGCTGTACCAAGTCCAACTCCTGGTGCTCCACTGCTTCAAACAACGTCTCATTACTCTGGAACTGTGATATAGAGAAAGTTTACATCAGGTGTATAGATACAGAATGTTTCTCACAATATATTTTCTGTCTCGGTCTACAACAGTTAGCTGGATGGGTGTATGGTGGCACTACACAGGTTCTCTTGCTATCTAAGTCTATATGTTTTCCCAGCCTATTTTTAGACTACAATGTTCCTGGGCTTATTATTTTTTCCTTTTCTTTCTCTCTGACTTACTATGGTGGTTTTGCGCAGCCTCTCCTTGTCTACTCCCCGTCCTGACACCACACTGTCCTCCAGGGCCGGGGGGTTGGTGCCCACACGGAACTTTCCAGACAAGTTGCGGTATAGGCGGCGAGCCGCGCTTGGCGAGGACAGGCTGGCTGACTTGCGGGCTGGGGCAGGCTGGTGGGCCTGGTCCCCCCTCATGGGCTGCGTCATCTTGGCAGTGTCAGCCCTGCAGGAGAGATATGTGGATAAGAGACAGGAAAGATACTGTAGGTGAGAGAAAATAATAATAATAATTGTAATATGACATTTGATTCAGTACATGGACCCTGTGAAAACAAACTGTGACCCAATTCCATTAAATTTTAATAATTAAAATGTATCTTACTAAGAAGTGAAGGAAGGAAGGCAAACTGTTTGGTTAACTGACACCCTTACCTATAACTTGTGTTATAATCTTTGATTTAAATTTTAATCCATTCATGACAGAAGTTGAAAAACACAATAAGATCTAAGGAAAGCAGTTTCTACTCTACTGGTTATTCAGCAAAAAAGTTTAGATTGTGGTTCAAGAAAACAGCCCCAGACATTCATAGGGCTGAATGTGGCAATACTCTTTGTCAAAAGTGTCAAGGCATCATGACTCACATTGCAGTCTATATAAGCTCCACATATTAATTGTTGAAACACTGTTGATGTAACAGTATGTATGGCAGTGCCTGTAAAGATTTTTGGATTGTGACCCCTTAAAGCAAAGAAATGTCCACTCATGACCTCCTGTCATAGGGTGCATATGTAGAAAGGTGAGCAGCTGATCTACAACTTATTAAAGTTATTATTATTATAAAAAAGACCATTGAGACCATGAGAACCATCATCATTAAATGAATAACACATTTACATAGTTCAAAAATTGTTTTGTTAATCCCATTAATACCACAACCCCCAAAAGTTATCTTCAACCCCCTGGGAGGGGGTCTAAACAACTGGCTGAGAACCATGGATCTATGGCATGGTGATAAATTACACTGATCTGCCAGATGGGCACCATGTTGGCATTATCAATTCTCATTAACAGGTGCCATATGAGTCATCCTGTGCTGGCAATGCCTGTCTGGTAGCCGGTTTGCCAGTGCTGTTCTGTAACGTCATCTCTTTTTTCTGAGTTTCAAAAGATCGGCATTTCTTGCCACTGGTGTCTTGGCATCGCTGGTATGATGACTATGTAGCCCCTCTCCATACTGCCATGGGAACTTTGCAGATGACACTGTGTTTCTAGGGTGAGTCTGGTACATGGTGTTCACACACACTCAACTGCTGAAGGAAATGTCAGCAGGCTTCGACAGGCGATGGTGACAGACTCCACGACGGGTCCCACCAAACAGAGGCAGAGAGATAAATGAATTCCTCAAGGACGCACTTTCAACAGCTTTCTCTCCTCCTCTCTGCTCTACTGACATCTTATGAACTTGTTTCCCTTCTTATCATCTTTCGAGTCGGTTCTTTCCCCTTGCTCTTGGCCTTTCGCTCTTTACCCTTATCTTTACCCTTATCCTTATTGACTCTCATTTCCCTCCCATCATCTCTAACATTATCTTCCTGCCTCTTTCCTCTGTGCTTAAAGTCTGTCCTCTTGCCTCGATTCACCTCTGAATCTCACTTTCATTGCAACATGAATATAATCAAAGAATATTACTGAAATTGATACAGTTATTCTAAAATCTAACTAATGGGAGCATTTAAATCTTTTAACATTTGCTTAACTAATCATTAAAAGACTTCACGATAACCAAAAGATTGTGATTTGAATCCCTGCAGCAGTCAGCGAGTTTTTCTCTAGCCATGTGTCCTGTTCAAGTTCTTGAGAAATGCTTGCTTATTATCAGTCACTCTGGAAAACATCTTTAGTTAAATACCGCAAATGTAAATGTTGTTCTTAAAAAGCAATGGTTTGAACAGGGGCAGGGAGAGGTTGAGGAAAGTAAATAAAGGCTGAGTTACGTTGGGGCATCAAGCCTTATGCCAAGAAGTATCACACTAGCCAAGAACAGATTTGTCAAGGTGAGAACATCTGTAGGAAAAATGTTATTTATACTCCCACTCCGCTATGGACGTGTGAGCCCACATGAGCATACACATACACCCATACACACACACACCCTCCCCCAGCACATGCAGTTTGTACAACAGCTGACAGCGGCCCACATAGTAGACTTTAAAGCAGCTCCAAGCCCCCGCAACAAGCCTTTTTTCACAGGGCCAATACACCTAAAATACCCCCGATCCCCGTCCCTTCCCGCTCTGTCCCATCCATCTCCACTCCATCCCGTAATAGAGGCCTTATTTTAGACATCCTCGTGTTCCCGGCCGGGCCTAACCTATTCCAGGGTTCCAGATAAAGCGCGGCAGGTATTTGGAATAATTTTTCCATGGGCCTGGCCCGGAAGATAAAACAAGAGATATATTTGTAATGCGTGTGCCGGTATCCCATTTCAAAGAGAAAGCCCATTGGAATCCAGCCCCAGGCTTATTGTTATTTGCCTGAGATGGAACAGACAACTTTTTTCTGTCGGCAGGACGGTGCCCCATCACTCTTTGACGACATTAGGGAGTGTATAACGTGGTGTGGGGTGAGTGTGTGTGTGTATCTTTACTTTCAAAGAGATGCTGCATCCTACACGTGAGATTTGGATGGCAATCCCCAATGACATGCCCCCAACCTCAGAGAAAGATTAAAGACAATCCAAACAGAGAAAAAGCAATACAAAAACATACATATAACAAGATTGTATTAGAAAAAAAAAAAAAAAAGTGATGATAAGACATGAATACACATTTCAACACAGCAACCCATTTATAGATACTGATGACCATTATGATGACCGTACACTTTTGACACCATAATCGCAACTAACATTTTTATCTCATACTATGCATGGTGCAAATAGTTTTCCACACAACAGCAGGACACAGTAAAGTTGCTGAGGAGTTGGAGCTGTGCAGCCCATCACCTGCTATCAATAAATGCTGACAATGACTATGTCTTGTAGAAGTATATTTATTTTTATTCATAATAAAAGCCACTCTATGTTTCGATAGTTGAATACTTTTAATGTTAACTAGCAGCAGTAGAAAATGTCTGGTTTGCTGGTTTGCATTAGGAGTAATACAGCTCTGATACAGTGTTCAGGAGCGTGACCATTAAACAGTCAGGCTGATATCAATGAGACAAAATTACAAATGGCAATGCTGGATTACATGCATGCATCGTCTCCGCATCTGTCCCTCGTGCTTAGGTAGCCAATTTGAATCCAGAGAGCGGAATGGCAGACTCCGCCACTTCTTCTATATAGAGAGGTAATTATAGAACCAACACCAACTTTTTGTAAGGCATATAAATGCTGTTGCCAAAACAATGGCTCAAACATTTAAACTGAATGAAAATTGACAACAGAAGTTGGTTTTACAAGTGACACATACCCGTCTACTATATCAACACCTTTACCATCTTGAAGGCATTGCTTTTGGACTACCACGGCTACAATAATCTGAATAAATGACTAGAGATCAAAGCTCAGAGACATCCCATACACACTAATATACACACGCACACACATAGGCTATGTCACACAATTTCCTACACTTTTACCAGGTTTGGGAAACAGGAAGCAGTTGTTCTGGGAAACCAAAGTCTCTACCAAAAACCAGACTCCATGTTTGGCCCCGGATCAATCCCACATCAAATACACTAAGCCTGCTACAGTGAGACTGCATCAGCCCGACAAACAATCAACACCCCCAAGCTGCAACACACATACACACGACATCCGCTTTATTAGTTATATCAGGCTGTTTACACAAACAGTTTAGTCCTCCAGACAGTGAGTCACATGTAAACAAAGACTACATATAAAATACGGCGAGAGTCTAGACAATTACTTGTGTTTGACTAAAAGTCACGATGGGAAAAACCTGAGATTTAAGTAAAATGTAAAAGAAAATTGTTGGTTCCACCATCACAGAATTTCTGAGATTTTTGTTCAAGCTAAGAGGCCACCACAAGTATGCACATAACAGCTCATAACAGTGGTGTGTGGAGGAAAATCTCAGACACAGTTCAAAGCAAATCTGCAAACTGACAGAGGAGTGGAAAATGTTGCTTAGTCTGACAACTCCCATTCTGTGTTGCAATATATAAATGACATGGTCAGAACCGTAAGAAAGAACTAGAGTAGGCAATTTATTAAGAGTTTGCTGGTCTGAATGCTATAAAAGTTGAATAATAGCCTACTAATAATCTGTAAAAGGTTGAATATTTTACCTAAATGACGTGATCAGAACTATAAGAAAGAATGAATCCATTCAATCTGTCAACAGTAGAGAAGTAACCACACACACATACACACACACACACGACTCAACTGTCAATAAGATTAAGATAGATTCCCAAGTTCAAATATGAGCATCTTTGTGAGCTAGCGATGACATCACCCACAGCCAATAGACACCTGTCCTGTACTGGTGGTTCAATTAGATCAGAATATTGGGTACATGTTTTTCTCTTTCTCACCATCACCAGTTTCTTTGACTCTGACACACGTTCTTCACCATTGTTGTTGTCCCTTGCTTTTCTTTTTCTCTTCTTGTCTCTCTCACAATCTGTTTTTGTGTCTACACCCTCTGCCTCTCATGTGGTGTTACACATTATTAACATTTGTTGATGCAACTCGGGGACAAATTAGTAAAAAAAAATAAAAATACTGGGCAATGTTGGAATGGTTAAGACAAATGAGAACTGAATGTGAGCAGAAAAAATGTTCTTGGCCCGAGCCTTCTGCTTCTATAAATATAGATAATGTTAATATAAACTATAAACAATGGAAAATTTCTTTACCACACACACACACACACACACACACACACACAAACACAGGGCACAAAGAGGCCAACAGGCATGTGTTTGTCTGTGTGTGTGCCACAGAAATACATTAAATGGATTGCTGCCCAAATTAGCTACAGTGGCACAAAGAAAGATATTTTGATTGTGAAAAACAACAATGTAATTATGTTAAAGGGAAAAAGCACAGTCCTAATATATATGGACACCTACGTAGCCATATTTGTCCTAAAGAACTTGAAGTCTTAGGAAAACATTTTACAACAAGGCTCTTTTTTTGTAGCCAAAATCAGTTACATTCTTTTCCACGCATCTCCTTCCCACCACCTTTC